AAAAAAGGCTTATGAAGACAATCAAAATGGCTGCAGCACAAGGATTTACGCTCTAGGGCGGCCTTCTGGTGGAACACGATCTCACCCACCTGGACGTCCTTGCTGAACAAGTTGTTGGTGTGGAGATACATCGCGGAGAAGTTTCGGACACGGTCGAACTCGAACACGATTTCGACCGGATGTCCCGCCATGCCGACTGTATCATTGCGCCACCCGACCCACTCATAACCTGGAAACAACAGTAATTATGGTCAGCCAAAGGGACGGGAAAACAGCAAGGCCTCTATGGTTATAACAGTATTCTTAATCGGGTGGGTTTCTAAAAATACATGCTTAATGATTTAGAACATTATAGACTCGTGATAAGCCACGGTGGTCTAGCGGTTAGAACGCTGGCCTTGTAATCCTGGGGTCTCGGGTTCGATTCCCGGCGGTGCCCGAATTTATAACTTGTGTTGGGCAAGGCCGTGGTCTAGGCAACACGGAGTTTTCCTCCGTGGCATCCCAACAATTACTCCATTCACACACAGAAGAAGGCAATGGCAAACCACTTCTGGATCATCTGCCAAGAACGTATATGAACAGGTCCCATTCCGAGAAAAGGATGGAAGGATCCTGTTCATATGGACCTGTCGTCAGACAGAACACTAAATAATAATAATAAATAGACTCGTGATAATCCAATCGGCCTTAGATGTTAATAGCATCATGAAAGTCACGACCAGAACAGTTGAAATCATCGCTATAGAACGGTTACGTATTTTTTGACAGACGAAGTTCCTCTTGAGGAACTGTCATAATGGCGATGATGATTCAATTCAGTCCTGAACCTATTTATTTGCTAACTGAACAGACAGAAAGCTAATCACAAAGTAGGCACAGGTTGTGAAGAAACAACAAACACACAAAACATATACAAGCAAAGACAATTTATATAATTAAGATAACGATAATTATTCCAAGGACACGAAACATTTTTATTGATTATAATCTTTTTAACCAGTTACCTAACTGCTTTACACCAACAGTCATTTCCAATTATAAACGTAGCACAAATTTCATTCTTGGAAACGTTTCTCACTGTCGTAATTTAAGACTAAACAAAGTAATTTGGAAAATCTGTAAACAGTGGTTAATCCTGGGGTTAACTAGTGTTATTTAACGACACTGCGTCAACGTTAGATATTATTTAGCGTCGAATAAAAAGCAAATGTATGTTAAAATTGAAGGAGCGAAGTCGGGCGATGGTCGTTGAAATTTCAAGGTATTATTCCGGCCGACGTATTTAAAGACTGAGGAAAATCACAGTACCCCTTTCATACCTTCGTTCCCTTCTCTCCTTCCTTTTCAATAACTTCTAAAAATCTGTATCCTCGGTCATTTTCATATTTCTTTGCTACTGTGGCCACCCTTTTAGTGCGCGCTTCGTATCACATTGGCTCTATTCGGCATATTTAAAATTATTATCGTAAATATTCGCTAACACTGAATATCAACCTCACGGAACCTGTTTAATTGAAACTGTTATTATTAATAATAACTTTATGGATAAGCTGTGTTACGTTATTTTTCGGAACCTTCTCTGCGGACATGTTTTCCCTGTTAAAACAACCAAATGACGAAAACAAATATGCATCACCCTGAAGACGGAGGCAGTATGACCTCTGAAACGTTGATAAACATCGACCAGACTACACAGCGGAACAACCCAGAAGACAGAAATCTTCATAGCGTAGATAACTTAGAAAGAATCGCCCTGATGACGGAGGCAGTATGACCTCTGAAACGTTGATAAACATCGACCAGACTACACAGCGGAACAACCCAGAAGACAGAAATCTTCATAGCGTAGATAACTTAGAAAGAATCGCCCTGATGACGGAGGCAGTATGACCTCTGAAACGTTGATAAACATCGACCAGACTACACAGCGGAACAACCCAGAAGACAGAAATCTTCATACTCACCGCTGTGAGAACCTCAAGTCTTACAAATATGCATCGAACTAGCTTCCATACAGTTGGATGAACGACATTTTCTGTACTTGTAACCCTACTTAGTTAATTAACTAAATGGAAGGATAGTTTCACTGGCTGGTTTCTTGCTTGTATATCTTGCTACGAGATTAGTAAGTTATAACTTACTTCATTATGTGTTTACTTTCCTTAGCTTTTGCTGTCATTTTATTATCAACTCCAACAAATCTGACGTCAAAATAAACACTCTACTTTCAATAAGATATAAAATTTGATAACGTAGCACTAAATAGGATATCGAAAATAATTATCCCACGAGAACAAATACATGCAGCTTAATATTGTAATAATAGTCTTTGCCGAGTTACTACAGACCGCAGTAAAACAGCGTATTATTTTTCCTGCATTTTTTTGAAAAGCATAAAACAGAACAAATTTTCAAGTTATTTATTTGTCATTATAGAGGTAAGTAAGAAAAAATGCAGACATGTTGGGGCGGACAACTTTATAAAGCAGAGGACAAATGAGAACTGCACATTGTGGAAGACTTTGATGGATGATGGACCAGCTCGCTTACAATCTCACGTTGCTACATAGCTGTTTCTTGCCCTCGCGTCTGTCTTCTGCCTTTAATGTACTTAAGCGTAGCTTCAGATCACGCACTTTTAATGTGACTCAAGTTAGGTTACAACCAAGAAATGCTTGACAGTACACTCACGAATTATCCTGCTTCTGAATTGCGGCTTCGACATTATGACATTATGAGAACGTTTGTAAAAGTAAAAGATAATGAAAAGACTTTTTTCAGTACGTTTAATATCCGAAACAACACAACAGATTTGGATTAGATTTCGCGTTTATAACGTTGTCTAGAACATTTTATATATTTTATCGATCAAGTACAACCTACACTTTACAAAAAGTTCAAATGGGACTGAAAAAAGGTCTCGTCTAAACCTACAAACTTTAATTTAAAACACTTCTGTGTAGAATACTTACAGAACTACAAAAAAAAACTAATTTTTGGCTCATAACTTGGCGAGCAGATTTGCAACTCGGCGAAATAAGACTGGGTAGATACTAGTGATTATTATTTTGTTTTTGGTGAAGAAAATACAGTTAGGCTAATTTAGTAACAAATAATTTTGATTAAAAACGAATGTTTTACTCAAAATATAGTATAATTGAACGTAATTCAGTACTACGTAGTACACATACGAGCATAATCCACAATGAACTTAAGAAATTACTTCCAAATTACCAATGAAATGCATATTTTTGTGATACTTTTTTGTATTTAATGACTGATTTATTTTTAAAATTGTAATGTTTTTTATTATTATTTAGTGAAGGAACAGACAACACAGTCGTGTACATACTGATGTGACAACAGTTGTGGAATTTAACACATGCTTGTTAAGCTTGTGTATGCAGAGATCTGTCATGGTTTACCCTGAGGACGTCCTATACAAGATTTAATTCAAAGGGACCATTGCATTTGACTGTGTAAGGAAGGAATAAGTTTAAACTCTCCATTTCTAAGATTGTATTGGAGCAAATTAACACTAAGACCAATGAAGTATGAATGAACGCAAAGAACACATAAGAAAAAATATGTTAACTTCAAATATATTTTTATACTCCTGTATCAACAGACTTAATAGCACAGGCAAGGAAATAACAACAAATTAGCGCACAAAGCTTCGTTTAAATTTTATATTCGTTGTGAGGAATTTTAAAGACAGTCATCTTCAGACTCACCACCGTGAAAACCTCAAATCCTAAATTTATTTTTATCGTAAAACCTTTTTTTGAATCGCAATTAATATAAGAAGAAAAACAATTTAAATCCAGTGCTGTGTGCTTCTGAGCAACATAAATATCTTCAGGTTTCATAAAAGGTGGGGAATTTCTTGACCAGATGATCGACTATTATCTTCTCAATAAAGACTCTACATCTTATTAATCTCAGAGACCCTCCAGTGTGTCGTCAAATTTTTATGCTCCAAGACAGTCGTAATAAAGTCGTAAGAAAGAGATGTTGCGAACTCTTTCTTCAATTTTCACTTGGCTTCTGTTTGAGCTGTGGGTCAAATCGCACTGGATGCTGAAGTGACGATAAACGGGCAATGGGAATGAAGGTGAAGGCTGAGGGTGGATGGGTGAATGTCTCCAGGCATTTACTCAACACGCTAGCAGCAGTGGGCTGTGGTATTCTCTGCGACAATATTTCCTGATTTTTTTTTACGCTCTGAAGCTAAAGTTTGGTTTATGCTTCCCAAAGGAAGGTGAACTTTTTGTGTTATTAGGGCGATGGAAGCTTTCTTTAGTTTCTTATACCAGTTCCAGTTAAGGTTCTTAGGGAATCTTTAAGATAAAAGTAACTTAAGATTAAAAACCATAAAATATTCCGCACATTGCCGGAGACGTTAACAAACACCAAATCAGAAATGTGTTAACAAGAAATCAAATGTTTCAATTTAATGCCTAAATAAATATATTTATTGTTTATCGGTTACGTTTAATATTCCACCTTCTTTCTCGATGTTATGATATGGAATGTGCAAACAGTAGCACTCCGGCTAATTCCACCAAAAATGTCTTTTTCACTAAATACAGGCTGGAACTGCATATTTCACTTCCGAGCGCTACAAAGTTTTGTCGATACCAGTCAAGTATCGCTCCATATAAACAACAAAGACAACTTTCCTGTGTTGTAGCAGTTCCAGCCGGGAACCGAGATGTGACATTTGCGCTGAACTTTATCAGCAAACGCAATGAATAATATATACGACATTCAACTTAGGGTTGCGTAACTTTTTGGGACATGCCTTAGTGTCGAACCCGAATCCTAAAGGAAAGTGATGTACGTACATTCTCCAGAAGACCAAGAGGTTACCTTCAGTTCAAATGTGTAGTCCACATCAGGGGCAGTCCGACTTCCAGCACACTTAGGTATGAGGCCTATAAATCCCACTGACTTTAATAAAACTGATATGCCCATAAAAATTAAATACATAGCAGAGTACCACGTGCAGAAAATAAACTTAGATCATGGACTTAACACGAGCGATGTTGTTGACAAAATGGCAACGCTATAAATGTCGGATTGTGATCACAAGGGTGCGTTACTCACAATAAAACTGGACCCTCTAAAACACGCTACTTAGCGGACTATTTTCTAGAGACAGCTCTGGGTCGTGTCGCTTTGCAGTTTTACAGTTCGCTCGTATTTCATCGTTCAGTTGTTGTG